ACACTATTGCAGCTGAGATAGAGAAGTTTGGTTATTATTAAAAAAAAAAAAAAACAGAAAATGTTAGCTGACATACCATACAAACTGGTGAAAAAGCAACAATCCATACAAATAAGCCAGTTTTAACAAAAAGATACTTTTTTTTTTCACTAATCTGTGACTAATCTTTCACTCAAACCTTGCAAGTAGAGATGTCACAATACTCAAATATTTAGGTAGGAGCTTTACCCAGTTAAATGCCATTTTGTTGCTAATATAATAGATAAAATGAAAACTAGCAGTTACTTGCTAATTGCATAAATGCGGTACACTCTGCATTAGCCCATGCCTCACTAACAAGCTATAAAACACAAGAAATAGGCAGAAAATCTAAGCATAATCTTTATACCACTAAGCAAGAATTTTCCAATTTCTTTTCTTCTGTTCCTAATCACTTATTTGTAGTTAATGTAAAATTCCAACCAGCAGTACCCAATTTGAGTTAAAATTTTACATCACGACTTGATCTAATCTATATATTATTTACAAAACTGAATACATAGAGCATACCCAAGAGCCAACTCTGGACACGTTTCTCCACGTTATTGACAACCTTGCCTCCGAGATCACCGAGCTGGAAGGGGGCCATCAAGGACGAGGAGAAACACACCATCCATCTAGAGCAAGTCATTGAATGTTCTGTTTACGCAACACCAGTTCTGCAGTCCTAGGTACTTTGTTTTCATTTTAGGTGCCGTTACAAGGACGCGCTGCCCTAACGGCACAGCTTCAAGGTGAGGTGAGTGTTGGAAAAGAAGCAGAAGGGCGGACAGATCATGCTCGGAATGGCCAGATGTTGCCACAAGGAGGGACAAACAAGGGGCACCGTAACGGGGTGGAGGAAGACGAAGTCTGAGACTGTCCATATACAGTGGTGACGTCTGAGCGTGCTTCCTCGGCCGCCACCCACGCCGGACGGGAGGGAAGGCGGGAGGGACACTGCAATCCAAGTAACTACACAGAAGGTGGCGTCCCCCTGGCAGCGTCCTTCCGCTCTCGGCCGTCACCACTGTAAATGCTTGGGGAAGATGTGGCTTGGGCGAAAGACACCATCTCACACATGGACAGCAGTTGGTGGCAGATTCTCTCTCTCTCTCACACGCACGCATGCATACACGCACATAATGACAAGTTAGAGGGGGAAAAACAATGAATCGTTCTGTTGACCTAGCCGGGTTTTCCACCTGGTGGTATTTCGGTGGGGATGACTCCATCATCAGGGCCCCAGATCTGGCTGCACCTGGTGTTGTATAAATCCACTGTGACATCCCTAGAGAACTGTACTGTGACATCCCTAGTCTTACACTAAACCACTGTAATAAAGGAAAAGGCTTGTCAAAATCTCACATGTTCTGCTCATTCTGTCATTTTATTACCCAATTATCCATTACATTTTCCAATCACTTTACATAACCAACCATGTTCATCGTTGTCACACTATTGTAAACCACATCAGCAAGTTAATACATAAAGCTTTGCATTTCAAAAAACTAGACACTTTAGTAACAATATTACAAAGGTTTTAGCTTCAAAAATAACTGAAAATGAAAAAAATAAACTTTTAAAGAATTAGCATCATAAAATTAATTTATTCCAAGTAAAAATACAAAATAATATTATGACATTGACCAGATATGAAAGTCCCTCCCAGAAACAACTCTATTAATGATTGAGAAAGCACTCCTTAAAGAAAATACGAAATAAAATGAAAAATATGTAAATATGTTTAATTTTTTTCTTAGCAAAAAATCTTTCTAAAAATAACAATGAAAATTTGTCTCAGTACAAAGGCTACATTACTATTGAAAAAATACCAGCATGAAGAAAAGGTACATATTTGACAGTAGAAAAATGATTTCAGTGAATCACAATGTCTAAAGTTTGCAATGAAAATAAATCTGCAATAAAGATTTATGCCTTTTTTCTTTTCTTTTTTTTTCTATTTTTTATACAAACAGTACAAACAGTATTGCACATAACAACAAATAGTCGAGGTTAGGTTTTAGCCTTCAAAAAATCGACTAGTTCAAGTGTCACATCAAGGAAAGGCCACAACAGGACCTGTGATACCCAGGGGCTTCCCAGTCAAGTTGCAGGTCAGAACACCTCTTGTGTTTTAAAAAATAATTTTTTTTGAAGGACCCTCTCTTTTAATATAACATTAACAACTTGGGGGCACATTTATTTACAAAACAAAAGGGAACATGTTATAATTTAATAAACTAAAAAAGTTCTCTTTAAAAAAATACAAACAGAAGAACTCTTTCACAATCCTGGTCAGTCGTGCACAATCAACGCTTGATTATAAATATACAAATGAAGGGAAAGTCGTTTCCACCATCTATCCACAACTTTCAGCACCAAAGGGAGTTTATTCTTTATTCTTTGTAACCTATTCTTCGTGACCATGGTTTTCACCTCCACATCAGCTTCCCGCTGTACAAGCTTCCAGCTTTTTTTTTTTTTTTTAATCTCAGTGTTGTTTTAGTACATGAAAGAGGGGTGCTTCTTCAAAAAGTTTTGCTTCTTTCACATAATTAGGTAGATTTCTGTAGGTTAGATATGATCTTTAATATTATAGTTATAAAGCTCTAACTTCTTCATTTTCAAAAAACACAAATAAGCATGAAAAAAATAAAGTTACCCATCTGTTAAATCATTTTTTCTTGCAGAATTAAATTAATATATATTTTTCTGAATAAACTTACTTAGAAAATATCATTTTCTTTCCTATATTTCAAAATTGAGGTATTGCAAAAGATCATGTCAGTCAGAAAGCATGCCTTTTTCCTTAAAAGCAAACAAAAAAATCTTCAGCCAACTTTTGAAAACTGTCTAGAATACAAAAAGTAGTAGTGCATAACAAAATTTCTTGTACAGATGAAAAAAACCACAAACATAGAAAAAAAAACCAAACAGAAAACCACAGCTGGGCTGGAAAAAAGCAATTATTACCAAAAAGCCCAGAGGTAACCTCAAAGGGGGGGGGGGGTATTCTAATAAGCATTTTTAATCCAGTAAAAAACTATGTTGTTTTTTCCTTTTTGAAAAAAAACTATAGTTTGAGAGCTGGCAATTGCAACTAAACACTGGAGAAACAAAACAAAACAAAACAAAACAAAAACAAGCAGTCTTATTAACTTAAGAGACAGGACAAGGACATCATAGCACATAAAAAACAGCGACTTAAATCTATTCTGCAGTGTCATATCCAGTCAGATTGTCCCCAGAATTCCAAAACATAGGAAGAAGATTAAAAAAAAAAAAAAAAGATTTACATAGTCTCACAATCATTGTGTGTGTTTATATATTACTATCTGCAGCCCAAGAGTGAATGCTAAAAAATGTCCACGGTAGTTCTAGCAGGTCTTAGTTCTATTCAAGCTTTACAGGATAAATCCAGGGAATTAAGTAGTTAAATTTCTCACCCAGACAACCAGCCCTGCCCAGGCCATCTTGTTTTGGATAGACATTTCTTTAGCATCACCGCCACGCAACTTTCTTAAAATGTGCCTAATTTGTCAATCTGACAACTTATCTCTATATACTGTATATATTCCTAGTGTCTGTAAGCTAAGATGAGCTCTTTGGTTTTCTGGACAAGGTCTGAAGCTATGTAAAATGGTGCAAGCACTAGGAGATTGTAGCTAAGAGCTCATGTGTTAGTTAATAATATACCAGTTATGAACTGTCAAGTTCGTTAATGTCTGACACAGAGGCTTTAAACAGTTAAGTTTGATCACAGTTAGACATAATCACTTTACTATATAAAATAAATTGCACAATATATAACAGAGCACCGCAAAGTACTTCATCTACCATCCACAAATTTGCTTTAAGAATATCCTACACCTAGGTTTTATATTGGTTGTAATATAGGTCATTCTGTTAGGGGCTCTTCCTAATGTCAGAAGCATTCCATTTATTGAGGCATGCCTTCCTCCAGTCAATTACCAATTCTTTGAGTGAAAAAAACTCTTTTAAAAAAATCAGTATTTTATAGCTTATATAGATTCTTAATTTGTGCATTGTGGGAAGGTTTTATACTAGACATCGGATATAAAATTTATTGCATGCAGCAACCTGATTAAGTAAACATGCAGTCAGAAATAGTGACCTTCCGTTGAAGCTTTCTGTAGTCTATTCTGATCTCCTTTCGGCAGCTGATTCTATCCCTAAATCACAAACGTGTGTTGTTGGGTTTCTTTAAATTGATACCTTAGCCTGAAGAGAGTATTATGGTATTAATAATACCATCTTAATAGCAGCAAAAGCTATTGCAGCATAAATTTACATAACACTAAAAGATCTAACCAAAATCCTCAGCAAAACAAAAATCAAACATGAAGGGAAAATAAAGATTCAGCTTATGAGGTATCCTTACATGTCAAAATAGAAAACTAAAGGCCTATTTTCATTAAGGGTTACCCTTACTCTAAATGACCCCAACTAATGATCGCTGAACTGTTGTGAAGTTTTTGCTACATCTGCCGCCTACTCACGAGTATTACCTTTGGTAAGTCTTCTCCTAGGGGCGACTCTCTAAGTTTCTGAAAATAAGTGCATGCTCCAGTTCAAAAACAATCGGAACAACAACAACAACAACAACAACACAACAACAACAAACAAAAAAATCACAGACATCCACCTGATGGCCGCTGCTGAGAATGGCAGTCTACGAGTGACAAATCAGGTGTAAGAAATGAAGGTACCAAGCAGACAAAGGTGTGAATCAAAGTGCAAATCAGTACCGTTATACACTCTGCAATTTTGCATTATACTGGACACTGAGTTCAGTAATATGACTGTAAATTATAGTAATAATAAAAAGACCCATTTCTTCTTTAAAAATCGAGAACGAATGCACAGATTTCCAGAACACTGTAAGCCCTGAGGCAGTGCCCTCTCTTTTTCCCTCCTTGTTATCTACTCCAGTACTTGTGGCTGGGTCTGCCCTGGGCTCAGCTCCAGCGGAACGGGACGTGCCGAGGGCGGTCGCCTCCCTCCTTCACCAGCGGTTTGTGGAACTCCCGCCCGGCGCGGGAATGTATGCTCGCCCAGCAGTATTCACAGTAATACTGCAGACACGTGACGTTGGCACAGAAGAACGGGGCAAACTTCCCACCACAGCGCGTGCCCTGGCACTCGTCACACATCTGATCGTCCAGCACGTATGGCTTCACTTCCACCTGGACCCAGAGAGGAAAGACAGGAAAACATGTTTAGCAAAGCTTCCTAACGTTTCTTCCCTTGAGGCCTTATAGTAGAGCTAAATGACAGGTGTCGGGCAGACAGAGGCGTGAGTCAAAGCACAAATCAGGGCTCTGGAACTGCTCCATTTACAGGTGGTGTGATCACAGGCAAATTCCTAACCTCCCTCTGTGCTTCTGTTGGCTCTGCGGGTCTGTAAAGTGCGTATAATTTATACACAGATGTGCACACATACTTGCCTATCTGTAAAATGGGGACAACAACGTCCACCTCCAAGGCTGCTGGGGAGGATTAAGAGAGGCAGGGCGTGTAGAAGCACCTGAGCGGAATCCCAAAGGCCAGGCAGCCCCTGGCCGGGTGGGGTGAGAGAGAGCGTGGGTCAGGGAGAGGAGGCAGCGGGGACAAAGTCCGCAGGCAGGCAAAAGCAGGGCATGTAGGTGGGGAACGGTGTGACGCGAGCCAGGCCCGAGGGGAAGAATCACGCTGGCTGGCCAGACAGGCTGAGATGTGACACCACGGTGAGGCTCTGGGCCTCCGCGTTTCAGTGACAAGGCTTCCAAAAGTCTATTATCTATTATTCCAAAAGTCTATGTTAAAAGTATATTATTACTGGGATAATAATAACAACAACAACAACAACTGGGATAATAATAATAAATGCTAAGCTACTAATAATAATTGAGACTTTCTTATTTTTTGGACTTTATTGCCTTAATCTCCCCCTATAACTGGAAGCTTCACAGAGGAGAGCTTTTCCTCACAGCCCTTCGAGGGGGGCATTTCATAACTGAAACAAAGCAAAGCTGTGCATGTGGAAACCAAAAGCAAGGAAGAACAGAATTACCAGAGTTTTCCCCTCGTCCCCTTCCTAGAACCTCAGAAAAGGGACATTATTCATGTTTTCATCTTGAATGTTGGAAATTAGCATGAAGGTGGCAAGTCTGTGACCGGGCCCCTTCCCATGCAGCCCTCCAGAGCCGTTCTGGGGAAAAGCAACCATTGCGGCTAGAGAGACAAGGACCCGGGGCTTTTTGATAGGCCCGAACTCCTGGCGATTCAGGCTGCCTCTGGGTGCAGCCGGGAGGGTCTAGCCGGGCATGAGGCAGGGTTCAGGAGAGGGGCAGCAGGGTGGACAGCTTGGGGGGGGAGCAGGAAAGGGGGCCTACCTAGGATCAGACACTCAACTTTTCCTGGCTCTCCTCCCCTTTGGAAGGCCCCCCTGCTGGCCGCCTCCGGAGTTCTGTCTCTAGCCATGACTCCAGTCTATAGGACCATTGGCTAGCCGGGTACTCTGACTTGGAAGACCCGCCCGAGAAAACCTGTATCAGCTCTTGGCTACCCGGGGGGTAAAGGTCTTCACTCTGGCTCTAGTTCCCTTCTTCCAATTTCCTCCTCCTCAACCTGCGGCTTCCAAAAAAAAATCTCTTGCATCAATCTCTGCATCATAACTAGAACTGTTGTGGCTCTGGGGTCACCTGCCTGGGTTCATATCTAGGCCATGTTAGGAGCCGTGCAACCTTAGGCAAGTTTCTCTCAGGCAAGGCCACTCTGAGCCTGTGTCCTCATCTGTGCACTAGGGGAGAAGAATTCACACTTGACAGGGTTCCTAGGAGGATTAAATGAGTTAAAGAACAGAAAGCCTCGGAACAGGCTTGGCACAGCCTAAGCACGAAGCATGATTCAGATTCCGGCCGCGTCCCCTCCAGTCCAGGCCGTCCCGGGTGTGTTCAACACCGACGGCCTCCGTGCTGGCTTCCAAGCTCCAAGCTTTCCCCGGCTCATTCTCCCATGAACATGCTGACATTTCAACTCATCTACTTCTATGGTGTTCCTGGTCACAAGCCATTCCGATCCTCCGCAAGCCCAGCTGCCTCAGTGACAGGGCGCTCCCCGTCTCCCGTGACTCCGACACGAGCCACAGGCTGCGCCATGCGCCCCCGGCTCCCCGGCGGGGCCCCCGTTCACACTACATGGCCCCCACCTTTGCTTACACTTTCTTCCCACTTTCAATGCTCAGCCCACTCCGTTTTAGGTACTCAACAGGTCTTTCCTTTCTTTTTAACATAAAATTAACAATTTTAAAGTGACCATTCAGTGCCATTTAATACTCTCACTGCGCTAGACAGCCACCACCTCTATCTGGTCCCTGAACAGTTTCGTCCCCCAAAGGAGGCCCTGTGCCTACTACTAAGCAGTTATCCCCCCTCCCCAGCCCCTGTTAATGGCCAGCCCGCCTTCTCTCCCTCCGGATTTAGCTGTTCTAGATATTCTGTATGAATGGCATCACACAATATGTGACCTTTTGTGTCTGATTTCTTTCACTTATCATCATCATATGCTGTTCAATCCATGCTGTGGCCTGCAGCAGTATTTCATTCCTTTCCATGACTGAATAATATTCGTGTGTGTGCGTGAGAGACAGACAGAGACAGAGAGAAACGGACAGAGAGACACACACACATTTTATCTATCCATTGGTTCACTGATGGACACTGGTGGTTTCCACCTTTCAGCCACTGTGAATGATGCTGTTATGAACGCGTATGTGTATATATATTTGTCTGAATACCAGTTTTCAATTCTTTTGAGTATATACTTAGAAGGAGAACTTCTGGGCATGTGGCAATTCTGTGTTTAACTTTTTGAGGAACTGCCAAATTATTTTCCATAGAGACTGTACCATTTTTGGTAGAGTTCCAGCAAATTGGCAGAGTTCCAATGTCCCTACACACTCATCAAAACTTGCTGTTTTCCATTTTGTGACCTGCCATCCTAGGAGGTGTGAAGAGGTATTTCACTGTGGCTTGATTTGCATTTCTCTACAGACTAATGACATTGAGCATTTTTCATGTGCTTGCTGGCCACATGTAGATCTTCTTTGGAAAAAGGTCTATTCAGTATGTATGTATTAAGTGCTCTGGATTTGTTCACTTTAAAATGGTTAATTTTTTAGGACTCTAACTTCAATTAAAAAAAATTTAAGCTCTTAAAAAACTAGAGGGGGGAAAAACTCACATAACCATATTCTATTATAGTTATCATTTTTTATACCTAAACATAAGTAATTTTCTTAAAAAAATACCAAAAAGTCTCTCTGTGCTAAACTTGAATCTCCTTCATTGCTCTTTTCATATTTGTATTGTTTTAAAAACGGCTATTGCCGTTCCTGAAGTGAACAATCTCCTGCCCATCTTTAAATTGTCTTTTTGTTGTTGACTTGTAAAAGTTCTTTTTTTTTTTTTTTTTTAAAGATTTTATTTATTTATTTGTCAGAGAGAGAGAGAGAGCGAGAGTGAGCACAGGCAGATAGAGTGGCAGGCAGAGGCAGAGGGAGAAGCAGGCTCCCTGCTGAGCAAGGAGCCCGATGTGGGACTCGATCCCAGGACTCTGGGATCATGACCTGAGCCGAAGGCAGCCGCTTAACCAACTGAGCCACCCAGGCGTCCCTGCTAGATACTAGACTTCCATCAGACATATGATTTGCAAATATTTTCTAAGTTGTTTTACTTCATTGACAAGGTCCTTTGACGCACAAAAGTTTCATTTTGACAAAGTCCAAATTATCTATTTATTCTTTTGTTGCTCCTCCTTTTGATGTCATATCTAAGAATCCGCTACCAACCCAAGATCATAAAGATTTACCAGTTTTCTTCTAAGAATTTTCTGGTTTTAGCTCCTGTATTTAGGTTGATTTTTTTTTTTTTTTTTTTTAGATTTTATTTATTTATTTGACAGACAAAGATCACAAGTAGGCAGAGAGGTAGGCAGAGAGAGAGAGGAGGAAGCAGGTTCCCTGGCTGAGCAGAGAGCCCGATGCGGGGCTCGATCCCAGGACCCTGGGATCATGACCTGAGCCGAAGGCAGAGGCTTTAACCCACTGAGCCACCCAGGCGCCCCTTTAGGTTGATTTTTAATTAACGTTGTATATAGTGTGAGGCAGGGGTCTAATGTCAATCTTTTGCACGTGGATACTGAGTTACCCCAGCACCATTTGTTGAAGAGAACTCTTCTTTACCCATTGAATGGCAGCCTTGTAAAAAAAAATCAGTAACAGGCTTAGCCTTCCTTAACTATTTCAGTCCACAGGGATCTATTCCATCCTCCTTTGAGCTTAATACTCCATGGTGCTCCTCTGGCATTTCCTCTCTATAGTCCTTCCTTGTCAGCATCTCTCCCGAGCATCAAGTGACTTGATGATATCCTGGTCCAGAGAAGAAGGTGGTCTTCAGAGACTATGGCTCCTGGAGAAATGGAGCTACTGGCTTATGAGAATGTATCAACTTGGCCTGACCTCCTTGCATCTGAAGCCAAGAAAATAAAAATGGCGGGATGACTCCCCTCTGCCCTGAAGTTGGAGGACCACTGACAGACGCAGGGCCTTCAGGGAACAGCTTTCCCACCCCCAGGCCGCTGAAGACCACTTTGATTCTGCCACCAGGCAGAGCCTACACTCAGGGGACTCCAGCAACCAGATCAGAGCCTCAATAAGCCTAGATCAGAGAAGTAACTGGTCTGAACAATCAGAATTCACATTCAGTGAAAGAAAGCTGCTGGAGGAGAAAGACAATAGCCACTTATCATACATACAAATATCAAAAGAGCATGTAAGGAAATTCAAGTCTAGCACAAAGGACACACTCTGGTAATATAATTTTTAAAAAGGTTACTTTTGTTCAGGTATAAAAAAGGTATTGCGGTTGGGGCGCCTGGGTGGCTCAGTGGGTTAAAGCCTCTGCCTTCAGCTCAGGTCCTGATCTCAGGGTCCTGGGATCGAGCCCCGTATCTGGCTCTCTGCTCAGTGGGGAGCCTGCTTCCTGTCCTTTCTCTCTCTGCCTGCCTCTCTGCCTACTTGTGATTTCTGTCAAATAAATAAAATCTTTAAAAAAAAAAAAAGGTATTGCGGTTATATGGGTTTTTCTTTCCTCTTTTTTTTAAAGAGCTTAAATTAATTTTTTAAAAAGATTTTATTTATTTATTT